AGTATATTAGGAAGGATATATTAAGTGAATATCGCAGTTTGTTGTGTATGGGGCTGTGTAGCCACAGACTGGTCAGGGTGCCCATACTTACTAGTGAGTGACCACCACCAAAAGTGCCTACAATTGGCAAGCAAAAATTGGAATTGGACCACGGAGCAATGCGAGAACGTGGCCTAGTCTGATCATGTTTTCTTTTACAAAATGTGGATGGCTGGATTTGTGTGCGTCGCTCTCCTGGGGAGATGACACCAGGACTTACTATGGGAAGAAGGATCTGCGACTGACGGCTCGGTGCCAGATACCACAGCATACCTTCAGAGGTCTAGTGGAGTCCATGCCTCGATGGGTCAGGCTTGTTTTGGTGGCAAAATGGGGACCTATTCAATATTAGGGGGTTGTCATAATGTTATGTCTGATCGGTGTAGTTCTATTAGTGCATGTATGGGTGGATATCTGAGACACTTTTGCCTTTTTTTAGCAGTTTCTGTATCTCATATTTTGAGCAGTGAAGTGATAGATTTGTATGGCAGATGTCTATAGTGATTATGTGATATTACATATTTGCTATTTTAAATGTATTTTTATACACAGGCCGCTCTTTTGCTCTTAGTTTGTGCAGCATATGACTGGGCAGTTTTCCCCCGTTCCCTTTTCTGGTTGCCACTGCAGCTCCTCTTTTTGTGCCCCTTTCTAATTTTTTTCTGGCCATTGTTATCCTCTCCTGTTTGTTATTCGCCTTCTCTGTTCATTATTGGCTGTTGTGCTCCTCCCCTGTTTATTATTGGCTGCTGTGACCCTCCCCTGTTCGTTATTGGCCACTGTGCCCCTGCCCGTTTATGATTGGCCACTGTGCCCCTGCCCGTTTATGATTGGCCACTGTGCCCCTGCCCGTTTATGATTGGCCACTGTGCCCCTGGCCGTTTATGATTGGCCACTGTGCCCCTGCCCGTTTATGATTGGCCACTGTGCCCCTCCCCGTTTATGATTGGCCACCGTGCCCCCTCCCCGTTTATGATTGGCCACCGTGCACCCTCACCGTTTATGATTGACCACTGTGCCCCCTCACCGTTTATGATTGACCACTGTGCCCCCTCACCGTTTATGATTGGCCACCGTGCCCCCTCCCCGTTTATGATTGGCCACCGTGCCCCCTCACCGTTTAGGATTGGCCACTGTGCCCCCTCACCGTTTAGGATTGGCCACTGTGCTCCTCCCCTGTTTAAGATTTGTGCCGCTTTTCTGATTATTATTTGCCACTGTGTCCTCCACCCTGGTAGTTGGCTGCATTATGGACCCCTTACCCCTTTTCTGACATTTGACATCTTCCCCCATCCTCCTGCATAGTATGAAATCAGGTGAGAGGTCTTTTGCAGGTAAGTTGTGTGGTTTCCCTGAGAGATATATGGGAAGCTGGAGGGTTATTGAAGACTGAAATACCCATCGGCCTCATTGCTTTGTATGGTCTTCCTTTCCATATAAACAAGGAGTGACGTCACCAGGTTGGCGCAGTGAATTCCGTGTAATAGGCAGGAATGCGCTGTATTTTATTAGCAGCGTGGGTGTCTTTGTCACGTCTATGCCAGCCTTTGTCTGGGAAAGCGGAGAGGGACTCGTATTTGCCAGGTTTCTGTATTCTCACATGAAGATCCCCTGGACTCTGACGGCAGCATGGAGAGAAAATGATATCATTCCTTTCCAGCTGTTCTAAAGATAGAAGCTTTGCAGATCCCTGTGTTTATGTACAGAGCGCAGGCTCTCCTTGTATCCGTCCGGGTGGGCCCGCTGACGTTGAAGCTTTGTGCATTGTGCGATGTTGTAATTAGTGGTATGACACCTCCTATACCCAGCTCAGATCCCTGAATAACTCCCTCAGAGATGGTTTGTATCAGATGTAGACAGCCTGACACCCTGGAGCCAAAGAGGTCGCAGCATAGTCTGAGAGAATGGCTACCGCTGAGACCATCCATGTGATCCCAGCCAGCCAGATATCGTCTGAAGCATTGGACTCGGATACCTTCTGTAATAACTGTACAGAGCGTTAAAGCTTCTTGTCTCTGCA